TTAGACGAAGACATGAAAACCGATTTACTATTGACTGCTGACTGTTGGCCACAATTGACTCATTTGACACTCGAAGGCAAATTGATTAAACTGATAGTCAATGACCAGTTCTTTGCCGATATTTACCGAAATCTACCGCGACTTCAATCGCTAATACTAAGACCTTGTATATCGTGTCCGACACTTGTCGACGACCGGACAGCTTTGATAAGTATATCGCAGTTGTCATCATTGAACCATCTAATCATCGCTTTTCTGATATTCAATAATATTAGCGAAAAAAAATTTCGTAAACTGATGGACAAAATGCCGAAATCTAAATACATATATATCCGTATCATTGATACCACTTTTACGGCCAAATTGAAGGCCATATGTCGGTCAATAGTTAGCTGTCAATCGTATAGATTGTCTCCAAAAAAGATTAACTTATGATTTATAGATTGATTTTTTTTGTGTATAGAAATTGTTTTATTTTTTTAAAATTTGTTTTGCCTCTAAATTTTTGTATTTAATTTTCTATGAATTTTTGATAATAATATTTATGATATCTTAAAATATTTTATATAATTTATATAATATAATATAATTCAAGTTTGAAATTATCTTACAATACAAACTAACAATACACAGAATTTGTATATTATATACTAATCAGTAATCATTTTAATTGGTCTAATAATTACTATAATATTAGTAATATTATATCTATGAATGGTATCAAAACCGATATAATAGACTTCATGTAATCCGATATCTAAAATATTCAAATGTTTGCCAAAAATTTGACAAAAATATCATCGATGCCTACAATATGTTAAAAGATAAGGTATATATGACTATCAAAAAAATGTTTCATAAATTTTATTTAATTATTTATATATTTTTTTAGTCAAACATTAAATAATTTGAAGAAAATGTAGGAATTTTTTATTAGATTGGATAACAAATTACATCAAAAATATAATCTATACTACTATATAATTTGGAAATGTTTATATATTTATATCTCTGTCACACTTTTGCGCGTTACAACAATTAAAAATTATTAAAATTAAAATAACGGTTAAATAAAAAGTATTGTTAATTAAACAGTTAGTTTTTTAATTTTATTTATTGTTGCACGTGTAAAGAAAAAAACATTTAAATTAAATTATTGAACGCGAAATTTAAATAATTTTTTTGATTTCAAATTTTTGTTTCTTTTTGAATAATTTGTTTTGAATAATATCTGTTATAATATCTATTATCGCATACCAGTGCTAACATACCAGTGCTCATATCTGTGCTAATAATTGTATTTTTCAATTTAAAAGTAAGTTTTTAATATATTCTATTTTATACCTCTGTACCGTATACTATACCTCTGTACCGTATACTATACCTCTGTACCGTATACTATACCTCTGTACCGTATACTATACCTCTGTACCGTATACTATACCTCTGTACCGTATACTATACCTCTGTACCGTATACTATACCTCTGTACCGTATACTATACCTCTGTACCGTATACTATACCTCTGTACCGTATACTATACCTCTGTACCGTATACTATACCTCTGTACCGTATACTATACCTCTGTACCGTATACTATACCTCTGTACCGTATACTATACCTCTGTACCGTATACTATACCTCTGTACCGTATACTATACCTCTGTACCGTATACTATACCTCTGTACCGTATACTATACCTCTGTACCGTATACTATACCTCTGTACCGTATACTATACCTCTGTACCGTATACTATACCTCTGTACCGTATACTATACCTCTGTACCGTATACTATACCTCTGTACCGTATACTATACCTCTGTACCGTATACTATACCTCTGTACCGTATACTATACCTCTGTACCGTATACTATACCTCTGTACCGTATACTATACCTCTGTACCGTATACTATACCTCTGTACCGTATACTATACCTCTGTACCGTATACTATACCTCTGTACCGTATACTATACCTCTGTACCGTATACTATACCTCTGTACCGTATACTATACCTCTGTACCGTATACTATACCTCTGTACCGTATACTATACCTCTGTACCGTATACTATACCTCTGTACCGTATACTATACCTCTGTACCGTATACTATACCTCTGTACCGTATACTACTATATAATTTGGAAATGTTTGTTTATATTTCCGTCACGCAAACAATTACTTTTAGCTCGATATTAAAATTAAAAATAATTAAAATAACGGTTAAATAAAATTTATTGGAAATGTTTATATGTTTTTGCGCGTTACAACAATTAAAAATGATTAAAATTAAAATAACTCAAATAACGGTTAAATAAAATGTATTGTTGACTAAACAGTTTTAAATTTTTTAGTATAATTTTTAACTATAAATTAAAACATAAATTAAACACACACTAATGATTTTATGTATTATTGCAACATGCATTACAACTTTTTATTTAAACATTTAATATATTATTTTGAAGGTGTTTTTTTTATTAAAAAATACTAATATTGCATACTTATTGATAATGTACATTAATCGATACTGTATAATAATTTATACTGCATACTAATAGATAATGTACACTAAATCAAAAACATTTTTTCAAAACAATAAATAGACTTGAATAAATAGTCACAAACGGCCGTTTTTAGGGTCACTAACTATATAACTAAAAAACAGATTTTTTAAATACTTTTAATTATAATAAAACCAGAAAATTAAGTCACATGATTATTACCGGGAAACTAACTAGTGTAAAAATAATTTATTTGTTTGTTTTTTTGTGGTTCAGAGATCTACCGAAACTGTACCGCCAATAGACGTCCTGTGGATTCAATAATATAATAATATTGCACGTAATATACAGTATATTAATTTTATATTAATTTCAGTTATATTATTGTTTAATTTGGATAATTAAACGGTTAAATTGAATTAAATTATTTTTATCCAAAAATGTTATCAATCATATGTTTCCTAATTGTTATATCTGTTTATGGATCGGATGAATCAATCGTTGGCCGGTTGACTACAATACCCAAACCAACGATGGTCTCGGAAAACGTGTCGACATTGATGTCGATCGAGTCTTCGTCGTCATCATCACTACCGATGACCACAAATGGACAGTCAAATAGATATACTAATTGGACAGCAATTATCATAAGTACAATAACAACTAATTTCAGATAATAATCACTAAATAATAATAATATTAATAAATTGTTTGTTTTGATCACTACTAATCAGTTATCATTTTAATCGGTCTAATAATTGCTGTATTATTAGTAATATTATATCTATTGTATGAATGGTATCAAAACCGATATAATAGACTTCATGTAATCCGATATCTAAAATATTCAAATGTTTGCCAAACATTAGACAAAAATATCATCGATGCCTACAATATGTTAAAAGATAAGGTGTATATATAAGTAGCAAAAAAAAGTGTTTCATAAATTATATTAATTTTTATATATATTTTTTAGTCAAACATTAAACAATTTGAAGAAAATGTAGAAATTATTATTAAAAAGGATAACAAATTACATCAAAAATTTAATGTAAAAATACATCAAAAAAGACAAACATTTAGCAAATGGATTAATGCTAAACAAAATGATGATAATATTGTTAAACAAAATCTTCATTATATTTTCGGTATAATAATAATTATTATTTATTTTGTTTTTAAATATTATTATTATTGTATTTTAAAAGCTGTTTTCGATCTCAAAGTTGGTCAAGAATTTTATGGTATTTTAACAATCTATTGGAAACGTTATAATCGATTAGTTATTAATAAAAATAATAATAATAATGATGTCATCCATAGTGAAACAGATTCAGACTTTTAGTTTTTAATATATATATATATATATATATAAATGTAAAGTTATTATAAATATTGTGTAATATAATAATCAATTATTATTAGTATTATTATTAATTTTATCATATTTTTTCTAAATTGAAAATACAGTATTTTTTGTTGTAAAAAATTTTGATTAATATTATAGTACTGTAAAAGCCATTAATTGAAAAATAAAACTAAATAATTTTTTTTACTAAAATGTTTTAGTTAGTATACCTAAAAAAATAAAAATATTATGATTAAAGTTATTGCAATCTCTAACACATAAACATACATTTGTAGTCAATATGCTTGAAGTAGTTTGAAGGGTACTGTCATATCGGACCATAAAATTTATGGTCAGTGCTATCATTTATATATATATATACTGTGTATATATATATGTATATATATAGGGATTTAAGACAATAGATTGACCCATAAAATTAGTCGGCAGTTATTTGCAAAAAAAATCAATAAAGTTATAGAAAAAAGCGAAATATTTGCACAATTATTGGCATAAATGTTGAAAAATTTTATGTCTTATTGTTAATTAAATTATTACTTATTTGTGTTAAGTAAAATATATATATATATATATATATATATAAATAATATAAATTTAGTATAAATTTAGTATAAATTTAGTATAAAGTTATCATCAAATTTTACATATATAAATACAACGTAAATTTATACGGTATTTATTATTTTGTTATTTTTTGTTGAGATTATTTTAAAAAAAATTATATATAAAATATTTTACTTATATTTTACTATTTGTTTATTTAAACTATAAGTTTTAAAAAAATAAATTTGATATAATTTAATACTCTTATTAAACAGTATAATACAGTATAAACATTGTATCATATTATATAATTTATATAATGATATAATGTATAAATAAATAAATATATATACTTTATATACACTTCCGATAGTAATATACAAAAAAAAATAAAATAAAATTATTTATTATCTCATATTTTCTAACAATTTTTTTAATACTTAAAAAAAGTTTTTATTTATTTTTTTGTTGACGTTATATATGTTATAAAGTTTTTACGTAATGTTTACTAAAAATAAAAGTTTTTTTTATAAACAATATTTAAAATCTAAATATTTTTTGTTACAATCATTGTAATCATCCGGTAATCCGATTCATAACTTCTTTTAATAACTGGTTTTTTTTGTGGTTATTAACTATTTATTTAGTATCAGATGGAGTGATGGACACGACGACGACAACATCACTGCCATTGAAGACATTATCCATCAGATTGACCGATATTTTTGACGACTTAAGCAAACAGTTGGCGGACAAGTGTCGGGAAAATCATGTGTTAAAGTCGTGTCTGAATAAATCAGATCTGATCCAGAAATGGCTGGAAAAATGCAACGAAACTTTGGTCGAAATCTTCGAGTTGTGCCAATTGGATCAAAATATGGACGAAAAGTTTGTCCAATTGATCGGATCAGTCAGACAACTGGAGAATCGTATTGAACGAGAAAAACAAAACTTGCGGACAGATTGTCGGCGCCTATCGACGACTGTTGCGACCACTTCTGATAGTAAGTGTATTATTCAAACTTAATATATTCAATAGATTTTTTTTGATGATAATTAAAGAACTTGTGTTTTTTTGGGAACCAATAGATGTCAAGTACAATACCAAAGAGTTGAAGAAATATGACACAAATGGGTTAACTGATGGCCAAAACAAGTTGTTTAGCAGCGAAGACATTGACACCGATGATGTCGATGATAAGGATAATAGCATACAAAACGATAGTTCCGATCGTGATGTCGGTGATGGCAAAGACAGTCGAAATGTCATCGATATTAGCGATGATGACGACTATGATTGCAGCAGTGATACTGAGTGGTGGACATCGAAGAAGAAGAATAGAAAACGACTAAAGATAGCGTCAAAGCGAAGCACAGATCACATCAACTCTACTCCAACTAAGTCGTCGTTGAAAATCGGCGACAAATACCGGTCCGATACTCCAGTTGTGGCCGAAAACAAAACTCCAGACAAAGACTATTGCATTAACGATAATAAACAAATCGATAGTATTTTGAAGCTATTTGTTGTCGACGACGACGGCGGCGACAACGACAGCAAATATGTTTGCCATCGCGAGAATTGTCAGTTTAGTTGTCCGCTCAGCGATCGGGAAGTCTTCTACGAACACTACAAACAACACGACAACGTAATCTATGACCCGATCCATACCGACGACCCGAACCGCCCGTTCGGGTGCGACAAATGCTGTTCGACTTTTATCTACACGTATGATGCCGTTCGCCATAAACGCAATGTTCATCCGCAGACACTGTATGTCTGCAATCAGTCCGACTGTGGTATAAAACTGAAGAGTTTGACAAGTTTTATCCAACACAAGAAGAATAAACACAGAAATTTGAAGAAAAACAAGAAGAAGATGAAGACATCAATGACAACTAGCGTTACAACAACAACAACGGTGGCCAACAATAAAGTGATAACCGATAGTGAATTAATCGCTGATAGACTGATATGCGGCTCAAAAACAATATCATCGGCTAATCAATTGATAGCACCACAGGATAGTGAAGTGATAGCCATTGATGATAAAGAGTTGATGACGAGGACGACAGAAGATAGTAGAAGAAGGAGTCGTCAGGAAAATCAATTGCTTATGTTGTGTCTGAATAAATCAGATGCGATCAGGAAATATCTGGAAGAATGCAATGAAACTTTGATGGAAATCTTCGATTTGTGCCAATTGGATCAAAATAGTGACGCCAAGTTTGTCCAGCTGGTCGGATCAGTCAAAGAACTAGAGGACCGGATTGAACGAGAAAACCAAAGCTTACGAACACTTCGAGAGGACACAGATCGGTGTCTATCGGCTGTTGTACAGACATTTGATGAGAAGTCTATACAAACGGACAATAATTTTGGTGATAATAAAGAATTAGCGATAGAAAAGCCAGTTGTTTTCAAACCAATAGATGTCAAGTGCGATACCAAAGAGTCTAAATATGACACTAATTTATGGTTAACTAATGGCCAAAACAGTTGTGACTTAACATCGATGAAAAGCATACAAGAAGTTACTTCCGATAGTGATGTCGTCGACGTCAACGACAACAATGATTGCAGCGAAACATCGAAGAATAGAAAACGTTTAAAGAAGTCAAAGCTAAACACAGAACAGATCAACTCTACTACTACTGTGAAGTCGTCGTTGAAAACCGGCGACAAATACCGGTCCGATACTCCAATTGTAGCCGAAAACAAAACTCCAGACAAAGACTATTGCATTACCGATAATAAACTAATCGATAGTATTTTGAAGGTATTTGTTGATAACGACAGCAAATATGTTTGCCATCGAGAGAATTGTCAGTTTAGTTGTCCGATCGCCGATAAGAATGTCTTCTACGAACACTACAAACAACACAACAACATAACCTTTGATCCGATCCCTACCGATAACCGGAAGCGGCCGTTCGGATGCGATGAATGTCTGGCGATGTTTATGAAGTTGCCTGACATTCAGCGTCACAAGCGTGAAGTCCATCCGCACTCACTGTATGTCTGCAATCAAGCCGAGTGTGGCGTAAAACTGAAGACACTGAGAGGTTTTATCCAACACAAGAGGAATGTACACAAAAATGTGAAGAACAAGAAGATGAAGACATCAATGACAACTAACATTACGACAACAACAACTGCGTCCAACAATGTTATAACTGATAGTGGATTAGTCATCGATAAGATATGCGACAACAAAACAATATCRKCGGCKRCGGCACATCAAKTGATAGCACCATTGGATASTGAAGTAGCCATTGATGATAAAGAGTTGACGACAGTTGCTAGAAGTCGAGATTATCTTCTGCTTAAGGCATCACTKAATAAATCGGATTTGATCCGAAAATATCAGGACGAATGTAACGAAACATTGGTAGCGATCATCGAGTTGTGCCAATTGGATGAAAATAGTAACACAAAGATTGTCGAACTGGTCGAATCAGTCAAACAGCTGGAGAATCGTATTGAACAAGAAAAACAAAACTTGCAGACACTTCGCGAGGACGACAACAACAACAATGTCGATGACAATCAATTGGCGAAATTGATCCGCAATACAACCGACTCTCGTGATAAATGTATTCAAACGGATGATATCAAAGTAGATGTACTGATTGGCAAACATTTGATTAAAATAAAAAATGAAGGCAACTATTGCTATGATAATAAACCAGACGTGAAGACAGCATCATATCATCTGAAGGTTGATCGCACTTATGATGATAAGTGTATTCAAACTGATGACTGGTTTGTCGAAGAATTTATTCAACCAATTGATTACGATTGCGATAATAATAATAATAATCAAGTGTTTGAATATCAAACAAATTGGTTAATAGATCATCGATATAATGGTGTGAATCAATTTCCATCAATAATTGATATGAACAACTGTGATGACGACGACAATGGCAACTGTAATAATAATGGTATAGAAAACGTCAGTTCATATAGTGATGGCTAATATATATGATATTTAAAAAAAAGATATAATTAATAATTTTTTTTTAAAAAATTACAATAATTATGATAATTATAATTATTAATCTTTAAAAAAAAATTGATTATAAATTTTTGGTTGAAATGTTTGTTTTTGTTTAAAATATTATTTATTTACGTAAATTCATAATTTATCAAAAAAAAAAATATAATACATATACCTGTAATTTTATTGCTAATTTTAACCAAGCAAATTTAAGTATTATTTAATTATTCAAGTATTTAATCAATATTATTAAAAATAGTAATTTTTATATATATATTAAATTTAACTAATTATATAAACATTTTGAATTTTTAACTTACAAAAAATTTTGTAAACATAGACAACATTTTAATTATACAAATTAAAACAATCAATGTAATAATTACCTGTAATTAMTTTTTTTTCCTATTAAATTATTTTTGTTTATAAATTTAAACATAATAATTACTAATTTAAAATAAATTAAATTATTTTAAAAAGTAAAAAAAATAAAAAGTAGAAGAAAAAAAATATATAAAATAGAAATATTTTAATAAACAAAAATACATTTAGAAATTATTAACCAATAATATATGAAATTCAAATAAATATTAAATATGTGTTAATAAATATTTTTTTTAAAAAAAATTAATTATTATTAATTTTGTTGAAGTATTTTGAAACTATTTTGTAATAATAATAATAATAATAAAAAACTTTTTTTTTCATTAACTGTATTAAACAWAAATAAAATTATCGTTAAATATCGTTGACGTTATTATTACATGTTTTACCAGTTATTACACAACAATAATACAGTAATAATAATAATAATTGATATGATTTTTGTTGACATTGTTTTCAAAATACCGATTGATTGTAATCACCGATTGATTTAGTGATTGATTGATCACATCATCGGTTAAGACATCATTTGGATGTGATATTCAATGTGAACGACAACAACAACAACATCAGTGTGAAGATGACAACAACAACAACAACGATGAAGACATTATCAATCAAATTGACCGATATTTGGACCGATTGTCAGAAACAGTTGATTGATATGAGACGCGAAAACAATTCGCTGAAGACGTGTCTGAAATCGTCGGAACTGATCCGTAGATATCTGGAAAAATGTAACGAAACTTTGGTGGCCATCATCGAGTTGTGCCAATTGGATGCCGATAGTAATGTCAAGATTGTTCAGTTGATTGGATCAGTTAAACAATTGGAAAATTGTATTCAACGTGAAAAACAAAACTCGCGGACACTTATGGCCAACGATAGCAACCAATGGCGCGATATCGACAACAATGAAGACAACGACAGGACACTTGTGAAGTTGATCACTGACTGGAGTCATAACATTAGTCAAGCAAAGACACAGCTAGTGGTCACATATGATAAGTCCAGTCAAACAACAACAACAACATTACCGATAATTATTGGTCAGAAAACTAGCGATCAGACTGTGCGGACACAAAAAGTTTTGACACCAACTCTTAGTCAAAATTCTCTGATTACTACAGATATCGGTGATATTGATGTCAATATGAAACTTGAAGTTACAAATCATAGCGAGACAACTACTGTCGATGATATGTGTGTTGACTTACCGCCGATGACGGTTGATATGAGTGATGACGACGGCGATGACTATGACGGCGGCGGCAATGATGACAATAGCATAGAAAGTGATGATTCAATCAGAGATCGTGACTTTGATGCCGACGACGACGTCGTCAAAAAACTTACGTTTAGTGATAGTGACGACAACTACGACGACAATAGTGACTATGAGTGGTCGTCGAAGAATAAGAAACGAAAAACTAATAAGAAATCAACGACAACGACGACGAAGAAGAAGAGAAAGAGGAAGAGAAAGGGTTCGTTTGGTCGTCCATCGGAAAAGTGGTTCAGACGATTGGAAAAAATTAACGAATGGGTAATGCCGTTGAAAGTCGACGACCATTACGTGTGCGACCAAATCGGTTGCGATTTTACCGCCAGTCAAAAGCGTAAAATGTATAGCCATTTGTTGGTACATAAGACTGACGACAGTGTTGTAAATGATAATCCGTTTGACGAACAGCGACAACAAGAACAGCAACGTATCAGACAATTGGTAGCCGAATATCGAGTGGACAACCAGTATGTCTGTCGGGAAACCGACTGTCAGTATAGTTCGCAAAGGATCCGAGATTTTTATCGTCATTATAAACGACATCAATTAGGCGATGGTTTAGCTAATTATACTATCAGTGATGAACATATCGATCGGATTTTGAAACACTTCATTGTCGAAGACAACAACAACGACGACAAATATGTTTGTGTTCGCGAAAACTGTCAGTTTAGTTGTCCATTGGGTGAACGGGATGTCTTCTATGCCCATCACAAACAACACGACAGTCATGCGATGACCATCACTGATGAATCAGTTATCGTTAATCCAGATAACCCCGACCGGCCGTTTGGTTGCGACGAATGTAGTTCGGCGTTCAAAATCAAATACGACTACAAACGACACAAACGAGAAGTACATCCCAAAGCTCTGTATGTCTGCAATGTTGGCGATTGTCGTTCAAAACTGAAGAATTTCAAAAGCTTTGTCTATCATAGAGAAAGTATTCACTTGAAACTGAATAAAACGAAACCAATGTCGTCGTTGTCGTCTTCGTTGTCTTCATCACCAAAGAAAAAGAAGAGACATAGACTTCGAGTTTCTAATAATACTGTCGAAATGATTGCCAAAAATCATATGAATAGAGTTTGCAGTCTTTTCCTAATTGACGATAAATATGTTTGTCTTCGTGAGCACTGTCTGTTTAGTTGTTCGCTTGAACAGCAGGATGTCTTCTACGATCATTTCAAACAACATCAACTAACTGCTGATCCAATTATGACCACTGATGGTTCAATCAAACACTATGGCTGTTATTTGTGTGGAAAAGTTTTCGATAAACGCGAACGATGTCTGAAACATCAGATCAATACACATCCGAAAGTACCGTTTGTTTGCCGTACGGATAACTGCGGCGTACGGATCAAGTCGTGGATGCACTTCGAAAAGCACAGGGATTGTTGTCATCGGAAAATGCAAAACTATTCGTGCGATTGGCCCGGTTGTGAGTATCGGGCATTTTCTGGGCAGGCAATCAAAAATCACAAATTGGTTCACTCGGAAGTGAAAGCGTTGTCGTGCGAGTGGCCCGGCTGTCAGTTTCGATGCAAAGTCAAGTACGTAATGGTGACCCATATGCGTACGCATACACGGGAGAAGCCGTACGCCTGCGATTGGCCGGGCTGTACGTTTAGCTGTACCCAACAGTGCGCACTGACTGTACATAAGCGCCGACATACGGGCGAAAAGCCGTACGAGTGTCGCGATAACGGATGCGGCAAACGATTCACGTCGTTGGCCGGACTGCACATTCATCGCAAATCACATGCTAACGGTCGGATGGCTGTTAGAGGTCGACCGAAATTAAGATAACCAGACCATCGGTTAATTATTTGATTGACTAATTGTTTAGATTTTTGTATTTTTTTAAAAAAATTACAGTAAATACAATATTTGCAATATTAATAATTAGAAATTTATTGTTAGTATTATTTATGAATTAAATTGGTTGAGTTTAAAAAAATGATTATATTTATGTTTAAATTTTTTATTAAATTACAATTTTTTATTGTTAATTGTTTATTGTTTTTTACGGTAAGATTGAGTTTAATTTTCATGTAATTATCGGTAATTAATTAAATTATATGATATAACATGTAAATACATAATAATAATAATAATAATAACTATTGACAAGTAAATTTTAAAAAGCTAACAAAAATTATATTAAATTTGTAATTTAAGTTTATATTTAAAAAAAAATTATATCAAATTATTATTATTATTACTATTAAATAAAAAGTTAAATTAATTGTTAAAACTTTTTTTTTATATTATTAGTATTGTTTAATATCGTTGACGTTATTACATGTATTACCAGTTGTTTACTATTACTGTAATAACACAACAATAATATTGATATGATTTTTGTTGACATTGTTTTGCAATTGTTTAGAAACCACCGATTGATTCAGTGATCACATCATCGGTGTTAAGACATCATTTGGATGTGATATTCAATGTGAACGACAACAACAACAACATCAGCGAAGATGACAACAACAACAACAACGATGAAGACATTGTCCATTAAATTATCGGATATTTGGACCGATTGTCAAAAAGAGTTGATTGATATGAGACGCGAAAATAATTTATTAAAATCATTGCTAAAGACATCGGATATGATCGGGAAATATCTGGAAAAATGTAACGAAACATTGGTAGCCATTATCGAGTTATGTCAGTTGGATGCCGACGGCAACAAAAAGATTGGCCAATTGATTGCGTCGGTTAAAGAACTGGAATCAAGTGTCGATCGGGAAAAGGAAAACATGCGAACAATTGTGAAGAATGGTCGACAACAACGAGTTGGCGAAGACAGCGACCAAACACTAGTGAAACTGATTCACAACTGGAGTCACAATATTAGACAATCGAAGACCCGGCCAGTGGTTACCTATGATAAGTCGTGTCAAACGGTTGGCAACAACAACCAAGTCGTTGTTGTTGAAGAAATTGATGAAAAACCGATTGTGACGAATATTTTTGGAACAATTGATGACAATATTATGAGTGATACTAAAGACTTTATGTTAGCTGATGGCCAAAAACATGACGCCGACGAAGATATGAGTTGCGATGACTTTGACGGCTGCGCCGGTAATGATGGCATAGATAGTGATGATTCCGAAAGAGATCGTGACTTCAAAGCCGAAGTTGACAGCAATTTTGACGACGATTCAGACGACAGTGACTTTGAGTGGTCGTCTAAGAAGACTAGAAAAAGAAGTAAACAAAAGAAGTCAAAGAAGCCACACAAAGAGCTATCGCAGCGATCTATTAGACAAATGCAACGCGAGAACCAATTGGTGATGCCGTTGAAAGTCGGCGATCATTACGTATGCGATCAAATTGGCTGCGACTTCAATACTGGAGTCAAACGTCAAATGTATCGCCATTTGATGGAACATAAGGCAGACGCCAATCCGTTTGACGAACAACGACAACAAGAGTTGGCTCGTATTCGGGAATTGGTAGCCGAATATAAAGTGGACAATATGTTTGTTTGTCGCGAAACTAACTGTCCGTTTACTACGCATAAGTCGACTATTTTCTATCGTCATCTTCGGCGACATCAATCCCGAACATACACTTCATCGCGTATTTTGCGTCACTTTGTTGTCGACGACGACAAATATGTCTGTCCGCGTGAAAACTGTCAGTACAGTTGTCCACTCGAGGAACGGGAAGTATTCTACGAACATCACAAACAACACGAACTTACGGGCGAACCGATTGCCACCGATAACCCGGAGCGGCCATTCGGTTGCGATCAATGCGGTTCGACATTTACCGACAAATATGACGCCGTTCGGCACAAACGTAATGTTCATCCGCAGGCACTGTATGTTTGCAGCCATCGGGACTGTACGGCTAAGTTGAAGTCATTTAAGTCGTTTATACGACACAAAGATAGCGTACACACAAACGTGAAGACAGAGCGGAAGATGACTACCGGTACTAACAAATTGCCGGCTCGTAAACATATCGATCGGATTTGTCAGTTATTTCTGGCGGACGACAACAGCAGTTATGTTTGCTATCGAGAAAATTGTCAGTTTAGTTGTCCACTGGATGATAGAAATGTCTTATACTCGCATCACTGCCAACACGACCAGACCGATGAACCGATTATGTCCACCGATAGCCATACATCAGTGAATCAGTACGCGTGCACTGTTTGCGCCATGAGTTTCAAAGACCGTTATCGATGTTTGCGACACCAAATCAATACGCATCCGAAATCGTTGTTTGTCTGTCCGCAGGCCGACTGTGGCGCACGAATCAAATCGTTCGGACTGTTCGAACGACACAGAGATCAAGTTCATCGTCAGATACAGAACTACGGGTGCGATTGGCCGGGTTGTGACTACCGATCGTTTACTAAGCACGCCGTCGATCAACACTACAAAATAATACATTCGGAGGTCAAGGAGCTGTCGTGCGATTGGCCGGGTTGTCAGTATAGGTGCCATTTGCGCTATCAGCTGGTATCGCACATACGTACCCATACACGCGAAAAACCGTTTGCCTGCCATTGGCCGGGCTGTTCGTTTCGTAGCGGTCATCATTGTTCACTAACCGTACATATGCGCCGACATACCGGTGACAAGCCGTACGAGTGCTCGGATAATGGTTGTGGCAAACGATTTGCGTCGTTGTCCGGTCTGTACATACATCGCAAACAGCATCTATCATCKGGTCGTCGAAAAATAGGTCCCAAACCGATGAAGTTATCGGACGCTTTTGATTTGATTTGATTTTTTTTGTTTTTGTTTGTATAAAAAAAAATATTAGTAAAATCTAATAACTATTTTATTAATTAAAGTACAGRTATTTGGTATATACTGTAAATTATTTTCTATAAATTAATTTTTATTTTTTACACACTAATTGTAATATAATTTTATTATATTTATTAWTAGTTTAATTATTAATTTTGTTAAATTAAATTGTTGTTGTATATGTAGTAWATAGGCGTATTTGAATTAATTTAATTWAATTAATTTTTTATCACATAATATACACACATTTATATATATATAGAGTAAATATTTAATTAATTTTATATATAAAAAATTAATTTTAGAAAAATTATTATTATTATTAAACACATTTATAGGGCAATTAAATAAATTTTAATTAATTATACAAATAATTATTAATATATATTTTTGTATTAATAATATTATTACTGYTATTATTGTTACATAATATCGTTGACGTTATTATTACATGTATTACCAGTTGTTTACTACAGTATTAAACAACACATCAATAATAYTGTAAATACAGTAATARTAATAATAATAATAATAATAATAATTGATTTATTAGTTTTGTTGACATTGTTTTGCAAATGCATTGATTGATTGGAAATCACCGATTGATTCAAGTGATCACATCATCGGTTAAGACATCATTTAGATATGATATTCATGTGAACAACAACATCAGTGTGAAGATGACAACAACAACAACGATGAAGACATTATCAATCAAATTGACCGATATTTGGACCGATTGTCAGAAACAGTTGATTGATATGAGACGGGAAAACAATTCGCTGAAGACGTGTCTGAAGACGTCGGAACAGATACGAGAATATCTGGAGAAATGTAACGAAACTCTATTAGCAATCATCGAGTTGTGCCAAATCAATGCCGACGGTAACGAACGTATGTCCGAATTGATCGGTTTAGTCAAAGATATGGATCAAAGTATTGAACAAGAAAAAGAAAATCTACGGACACTTATGGACGACAGTGATTATCGGCGACCCGATATCGCCGACACTGACGACGACAAGACACTTGTGTCGCTGATCCACGAATGGAATCTTAACATTAGACAAGCGAAGACCTGGTCAGTGGCCACTTATGATAAGTCCAGTCAAACAGTTGGCCAGAAAACTGGTAAACAAATTGTTGCCAAACGGACACAAAACACAAAAGTTTTGAAACAAAGTCTTGACTTTATGTTAACCGATGGCCAAAATCTGGTGAACGACACCGCCGTTATGGGTGAAGATTATATGAGTGGCGGCGATGATGACTATGACGTCTTTGACGATGGCATACAAAGTGACGATTCCGAGCAAATAGACAACAATGTCAACAACAATAACGCCAACAATAAAAGCAATATTAAATGGATGTCGAAGAAGATTAATAAAATAAAATATAAGCCAAAAAAGTCGGTCAAAGAACAGTTGATTGCAAGATCTGTTAAACGTATACAACAATTGAACCAATGGGTGATGCCGTTGAAAGTTGACGATCGCTACGTTTGCGATCAAATTGGCTGCGAGTTTACCACTGGAGTCAAACGTAAAATGTATAGCCATTTGATGGCCGAACACAAGTCATCAATAATGCCTGACAACAGTGACAATCCGTTTGACGAACAGCGACAACAAGAGTCGCAACGTATTCGTGAATTGGTAGCCGACTATCGGGTGGACAACCAGTATGTCTGCCGCGAAGACGATTGTTCGTACATTTCGCGAAAGGCCCAGAATTTCTACAGACATCTTCGCCGACATCAGACTGGTTCGGCCACATACAAGACTGACGAACAAATTGATCGTACTTTGCAGCACTTCCTGGTCGACGACGACAAATATGTTTGTCCGCGTGAGGACTGCCAGTATTTGTGTTCACTGGAGGAACGGGATGTCTTCTACGAACATCATAAACAACACGACCGGCTCTCAAGCGAACCGGTACGCACTGGTAATCCTGACAGACCGTTCGGGTGCGATGAATGCGGTCTACCATTCGTACGGAAACATCACGTCGAACGTCACAAACGCGAAGTTCATTCAAAAGTAATGTTCATCTGTAACGAACCAAACTGTTCCGTTAAGCTGAAGAATTTGAAATGTTTTATCCAACACAAAGAGAACGTTCACTTGAGACTATCGTCGTCATCGATGGCGACGAAGAATACAGTAAACAAGAATAAGAAGAAGTTGTTGAATAAGACAACGAATAATGATGGAACCAATAGTAGTGACAATAATAATAATAATAATGAAAAACTTACGGCTGAACAGCATATCGACAAAATCTGTCAGTTATTCCTTGTCGGCGTCAACTATGTCTGTCATCGCGAGAATTGTCAGTTTAGTTGTCCGCTGGAAGACAGGAATATCTTCTACGCTCATCACAAACAACACGAACAAGTGGTCAACAATCCCGTGCCAACCGATAATCCTAATCGTCCGTTTGGTTGCGACGAATGCGGTTTGCCGTTCAGCCGTCGGGATCACGTTCTGCGACACAAACGCGAAGTTCATTCCAAGTCGATGTTTGTCTGCCGATTTGAATCCGGTTGTGGCCTAAAGCTGAAGAATTTGAAATGTTTTATCCAACACATGGAAAACATTCACTTTAAGCTGAAGAAAGAGATGTCAACCACCGATGGATCAGGTGATCAATCAATGTCTAAATTACCGAATCCTAAACAAATCGATAGGATCTGCGATATGTTTCTGGTGGACAACACTAGATTTGTTTGCCATCGCGAGAATTGTCAGTTTAGTTGTTCACTGGATGAACGAAATATCTTCTATGTTCATCATTGTCAACACGATCAGACCGATGAACCAATTGCTACCACTGCCACTTCCATCGATGGCATAGTCAGACAGTATGCATGCTTTTTTTGCGCCGCTATCTTCCGTAAACGTCATCTATGTCTCAACCATCAGATCAATACACATCCGAAATCGTGGTACGTTTGCCGACTGGACAACTGCGGCGTACGAATCAAATCGTTGGCCATGTTTGAATTGCACCGGGATAAGATACACCATCAGGTCCAGCAATACGGTTGCGAGTGGCCCGGCTGTGACTACAGGGCCTATACGAAAAAGGCGGTCAACAATCACAAAACGATACATCAGGCGGTGAAAAAGTTGGCCTGCGATTGGCCGGGGTGTCAGTATCGGGCAAACTGTCGCCGACGTATGGAAACTCATATACGTACCCATACGGGCGAAAAACCGTACGCTTGCCATTGGCCCGGCTGTTCGTTTAGTACCAGTACTAAGTATTCGCTTACCGTACATATGCGCCGCCATACTGGCGAACAGCCGTACGAATGCGATCACGGATGCGGTAAACGATTTGGTACACTAAAGTGTCTGTATATTCATCGCAAACATCACCTAATGGGTCGGATTTGAAACGGTTGACAATTCAACTGATTGATTGGAAGTGATTGTTGTCTTAGACAACAACAACAATAACAAAATTATCGGAAAAAATGATGAATTTTTTTTAGGTCTATTTATTTGTTTGTTTAAAATTTTCTGTTATTATTTATTATTTTTTTATTAAGTATGTATTTGTAATAATATAATTTATATATATACCGTTTTGTTATACCTGTTTTAGGGGGGGGCGAAAATTTGACCATGGTTATGGGTATTATATTAAATTAAATATTATATTACCGGTATTTATAATTTTTTTGTTGTCAAATTTGTTTTGTTGTAAATGTGAATCTATCGTATTATACATTCAGTTATAAATAAAATTTTACTAATAATTTTTTAATTAAATTATATTAATTTTTTTATTAAATGTTATATTATAAATTGAATTATTGTTATTTTAATTATTAGTTTTTTTTAACAAATTTAATTGAATCAGTATTTAATTATTAGATGTTGTAATTAGTTGTAATTATGATTTAATATGTTAATAAAAAAAATTTTTTTAATGTATAAATTTGTTTAATTATAATTATTTAATTTGATGTTATTAATTAATTAATTATAGCATAAAATACTAATAATTATTATTAAACATTTAAATTAATTAAAAAAAAAGTTTTTACTATTATTATTGTTAATATAGTTGACGTTATTATTACATGTATTACCAGTTGTTTACTATTAAACAAAACACAACAATAATATTGATATGATTTTTGTTGACATTGTTTTGCAAATGCATTGATTGATTGGAAACCACCGATTGATTCAGTGATTGATCACATCATCGGTTAAGACATCATTGGATGTGACAATCAATGTGAACAACGACAACAACATCAGTGAAGATGACAACAACAACGATGAAGACATTGTCCATCAAATTGACTAATATTTGGATGGACTGTCAGAAACAGATGATTGATATGCGAAACGAAATCACAGACTTGAAGGCATCGTTGAAGACATCGGAAAATATACGGAAATATTTGGAGAAAGTCAACGAAAATTTGGTGGCAATTATCGAGTTATGCGAACCGGATGTTACCGGCGATCATACTGTCCGACAATTGGTCGGATCAGTCAAAGAACTGGAGTGTAATATTGAACGAGAGAAACAAAATCTTCAGACATTTGTGGACACAGATAGACGTGAATTCAATGATAGGACAATCGATAGACTCAACAGAGACTGGAATCGCTGTAAGAAACTGAAGATAAGTGTCTTAACATATGATAAGTCAATTCAAACGATTAATGAAGAGTTGTTTGAGTCATCAGTAGTGTCGGCTAAATGTCAACCAATTGATGACAATTATTGTGATAATAGTAGTCAAGACATTAGTAATGTAGTGAACAATAATGATGTGATTAACGGTAGTAAAGAAGACAACATAAGTTGTTGTCCACCGATTGGTGATAGTGTTGTGGACGACGACGACGACAACAACAACAACCAGACAAATGATTGGAAAGATATCGGTAGTGACTATTCTGCCGAAGATCGAGAAGACTTTGACATTAATTTCAATCATAATGATAGCGATGACAGCGATTTTGTGACGAAAAGAATGAAGACAAAAACTAAGAAGAAGAAGATGAAGACGAAGACGAAAGTGAAGACTAAGAAACAACTGAAGAAGAAATCGTCAGTTAATAGAGTTTCAAGTAATAGATACCAATGTATACGTATGCAGAAGATAAACGATATGGTAATGCCGTTAAAGTTTGTCGACGACAATGACAATGACCGCTACTATTACCGGTGCGACCAAACTGACTGTCAGTTTACTAATAAAAACAAAAAACTTATGTTTAAACATCTGTTAAGACATAATAATAACAATAATAATAATAACAATAAAATCGGATCAGATGTCGTTGTCGATGAAGAATTGTTACGACAAATGCAAGCGACAGCCGAACCCTTTAAGACAGCAAACGGTATGTTTGTCTGCAATAACAACACCAACAACAACGAGACGACACCTGACTGTCACTATAGGACACGCAATTTGAGTTATTTTTGTCGACATCTCAAGAATCATGAAAACAAGTCTAAGACTACGGCTACAGATAATCAAGTGATTCACAAACGTTTGGATCATTTTGTTGTCGACAATCACTACCAGTGTCTACGCGATGGCTGTCAATTCAGATGTCCATTGACCGATAAGATGGCCTTTTTTGACCATCACAAACAACATAATAAGATTACCGAACCGTTGGCCAGCGGCGATTCGCAGCGACCGTTTGCCTGCGATAAGTGTACGAAATTGTTTCGAGATATTTCCGATTTTAGACGCCATAGACGCGATGTTCATCCGCAGGCACCCTATGTATGCAATGTTGGCGACTGTCGAGTACGGATCAAATCGCTGAAACACCTGATCCAACACTGGGATAATATTCACCGCCGTATTCATCGATTTGAATGCCATTGGCCCGGCTGTGGCTACAGAGCGTTCACTCAGGAAGCCGTCAACAATCATCAATTGGTTCATTCGGATGTCAAAGAGTTGTCGTGCGAATGGCCCGGTTGTCAGTACCGGTGCAAAGTCAGGTGGTGTCTGGTATCACATATGCGTACACATACCAGGGAAAAGCCATACCAGTGCGATTGGCCCGGTTGTCAGTACAGTGCTGCACAACAGTGTGCACTAACGGTACACAAGCGCCGACATACCGGGGAAAAACCGTACGAATGTCCTCAGGACGGGTGCGGCAAACGATTTTCGGCGTTGTCCGGACTGTACATTCATCGTAAACAACACCGAAGATAACATTTAATTATATTATTTAGTAGTTATGTATAGTTTGTATATATAGTATATATATTGTTTAGTTTATTATATCAATTGATTATTAATTTTTTGTTTATCTATATATCTGAATATATTATAGTAAATTAAATTAATTTTTTTTTAAAAATAATTGTTATTTAGTATTATTATAATATATGAAATATAATTTACCGCCCGTACGCCCGCATATAGCCCCCTTACCAATCCCACCTCTAGGGCATCGGGGGGGGGGGCTATATGTAAAACTATAGGACATATATATGATGTACGGTTCCACTATTGAAATTATTAAAGTTTTAATTAATGTATGTAATTACCCCTCCCCTACCCCCCCCCCAATATGTCATATATTGATTGGTCTATAAGTTTTTATGACTTAAATAATTAGAAACTATAAAATTTAAAAAATAAATATTTATTTTTAATTCAATGCCTTATTTTAATGTCTAATGAAACGGGAATTTTCCCTTTCATTGAATAATATTAATCTTTTAGTTATTTTCCTATAGTTTAGTATTAAAACTTTTATAATATTTTCCTATAAAGTCATTATTAGTAACTTTTGATGATTAGATATTAGAATACTAATCAATATATATATATATAGTCAATACCTAATCAATATGTCCATCAAAATGCCTACTTTTATAGGAATATGATTATAAAACAATTGTTTTTTTGTTGGGGATAATGTTTAGATGGTGGAGGACTAAAATATTACTTAAAAGATTTTAAGATAATAAAATTTAAAAGAAAAAGTAATAAAAGGGTTAAATAGTAAAAAAAATATAACATAAATATATACATCATATAAAGCGCACTCGACACAAATATTTATATAAATAAGGGGTAATAAAATAATGGTAAATATACACTATATATATATGTTTTTCAAATAATAGAGTGATTCCGGTGGTCCACTACTACAGTATATTAAAGGTAGGGCTGTACTAATAAATGTCTATTTGAATTGAATAGATAACAATGAAGATAAAGAATTAGATAATATTAGTGAAATCAATCTTAAGCCATAATTAAGTTATTTTCAAAATGGAAAACTAATTTCACAAAARTTTTACAGTTATTTTTGGTTACAATTTTCAATAAAGAATTATTTTTTCTCTAATTATATTAATTATTATAATTACATAAATGTTTTAAAATTTCATTAAAGATGCTAAAAAGTTATTAATGACGAATCATTGAAATCATTGATTGATTTAAAACTATAGGATTTCGATGCAACGCATGTAGTGGTCGACAAAGTATTTGGTGGTAATGTTATAGTTAAAGCCGACATATAAGTCAAACAAATTAATGAACAACTGGTTGATGAATGTATCCGTTATTTCGATGAAATAATTGTCGTTCAGCTGTTAATTAAAGACTCTGTCGACAAGTTTTATACAATGAAGCAATTAATTAATAGTAGTTTATTGAATGAATTGGATATTTTTAAGCAAAATTTGTGTACATATTGTAAATTAAAAAACTAAATTTGCAGACTTTTACTTGATATTAAATCGAGTAATAATAATGACAATAAATTGTTAAAAAATATTATTAAACCTGAAAATAATTTCTACACTATTCCCAATATACGTAATAAAATTACTTATTATAATGAATTATGCGATCAATTATCATTTGTTAATTTAGACAAAAATATTGAATTATGATTATATTTTTCATAAACAAAATAGTTTAAAAAGTAATATAAATAGATTTTGAAAGTCTATCAATTTTATAGATACTGTTTTTAATGCAGAAAAATTAATATTTTTATTAACATTATATTGATTTAAACAAATTAATTAAATGAAAGATATATATGTATAAAGTACTATACAGGCGTACGATGCGAGATATCASTGACGTGGAGGTGCAATGAGACATGAATCAGAAATATCATTTCTACATTACTATATTAGACAATCTAAAAAATAATAATGAAGTAAATTTATTTTTTGTTTATTAAATTATTAGTTTATAAATATATCAATTACATTGGTCCTGTATTTTTATGTAAAACTTCTAAGATATAAATACTGTTCAGAAATAGTATTATAAAACCGGTTTTATAAATTTTTGGAGAATAAAAATCTGGAAGAGGATAATAAAAGGGTTAAATTGTAAGCAGTATAACACATACCCCATATATAACACTCAATACAAATATGTTTATTGATAGAAACAAATAGGGGGTAATAAAATTATGGTAAACATACACTACATATATTAAACACAATTTTCAAATCAAAGGGTGATTCCTGTGGTCCACTATTACAGTATATTGATGGTAGAGCTGTACTAATAGTTGTCTATTTGGATAAATTCTCTGGAAAACGTCTGTAATCACAGCTATAAGGTTTGGACGGCATTTGTCAAAGTGTAGTCAGTTTTAGAGTGGATTATCGATAAAATAACGAAGTTTAGTTGATCAATGGTTTCTGGTTTAAAAACAAAACCTTTATTTCAAATATCCCCATCAAAAGTAATCATAAGCGTTGAGATAATGTGAATATGATGAATAATTAATGCCGGTTCCAGTTTTTTGGCGCATCCAAACCAATAATATGTTCTCCGAAATATTCATCAACTTTGTTTATTATCAGTTGATTCGATAACTGAATCATCATTGTGGCGTGCGGCAAATATTGGCGAATATTATGATGCCTGTAACGACTATTTATTTAAACGATCGCTTCCGTCCACTGGCATTACCGATACGCCAATGAATAATCTTGAGCTAAACTATTCGTAAACCTATAATGAAAAGTTTAATAAATTGAACATTGGTTTATCATTAAAAATTAATTGATGAATTAAAACAAAATGATAATCCGTTGTATTGTAACTATTATTATGAAGTTAAAGAATTAGTAAATATTAATGAAATATTTCTTAAGCCAGAATTAAGTTATTTTCAAAAAGGAAAACTAATTTCATAAAAGCTTTATTATAATTTGTTGACATAGTATTATTATTATTTCTCTAATTAGACTTAATATAATTACATAAATGTTTTAAATATAATGAAATAAAGGTTTGGAAAAGATAATTGAATATCATTTACTACCAATGATTGTAGTAATAATTTTTAATTTTAAAAGAAAATGCATTAATTCATACAATTAAAGATAATTTAGTTAATCATTCTGTTAATTATTTTGATAATATTATGACCGGGATAAAGGGAATAACGTGGATACAACAAATGATCGTTGTTTAAAAATTTATTGATTAAAAAAGGTAAAAAAACATTTAATAAATTAAATAATAATATTTTTCATCTTATATTCGATTTTTTAATTAAATTTTTAATAGAGTAAAATACTAAAGACTGAGAGAGAAATATTATGATAATTAAAACAAATTCAACTAAAAATATTGTCTAATAAATATCAAAACTGTCAGATGACAAGTTGTCAGATAAAGAGTGATTGCTTAAAGAAGAGGCAAACGAAAAGGGGATAAGTGTTTTGGCCGTACAGAAAGGTTTGTTATCCCGACCTTTAGCAGATCGGATGGGCAGGACGGAGGACGTAAACACAAACATGAGGTTGACAGTACCGACCAAACAGATAACAAGAAAAGTAGCAAATCAGTCGGCGACGACACAGGCAAAACCTATGGCGATATCACCAGCGAAACTTATGGCGATAACTCCAAATAAATCGATACCAAAGCCGTCAACAAAACAATTGCCGACAACAATTATAGTACAGTGCGAGGATAACACACCTTCCACACCAATACAGAGCCCTATGGAGGCCAAACAATTGGATTCGAGTTGTTGCTTAACTAAATTGGTGGCCACTAGTCAAGCATTAAGACAGGAATTGGATGCCGTGCGGCGGGACAACATAAGCCTACGCGAAGTACAGGACGTGGCTATTCACTATTGTTTAATAGCAGAAGCCACGGCGGCTAACCTAAAAAGAGAATTGGAGGAAGCAAAGATGTAGTGCGATAGCTCCTATAAATAGCTAAAAAAAGGACGAAAGAGTGGACAGTGACCTCCAAGATAAATTTGAAACATTGGATCGGCAATGCTAACAAGACAAACGAAACAAGCGGTCAACGAATAACCGATCTGACAGATTGGCCAGAGAAAAGGCAGAAGCGGCAGCGAAATACGATAAGTGGGTGCGCAATGTTATTGCGGACCGCGAACAATACCGCTTACAACTGGAGGCTACACGGTCAATAGGATATATAACCCAAAAGGATTTGGTGGACGCCTTGATGGCGGCAACACAGGCAGTGGCAACACAGCGGATGAATATCACCGGCACAAGGAGTGGATGACGTCCTACGACTAGTTAGATAAACCCGACTAAGGGAGAAACCGATAGAAAAACAGACGGCCGAAATGTCGTCATCAATCTGGACAACGATACAGACAGCAAAGACCGGGAGTTGACCCAAAAAGTGGTAGGGGCGGCTGTAATGAATTGGGTATTTTTCCATTTATTTTATTATATTTAATCAGTATTTAACTCAGTGGTGTTTTAAGCCCTGGTTGCGATCACTAAACTAGTTTTAGCAAACTTATAGGATATAAATACTTTTATAGGAAATATGACTATAAAACTAGTGTAATGATGGTGGAGGAGTAAAATGTTTTTAGAGATTTTAAGATAATAAAATTTAAAAGAGGGTAATAAAAGGGTTAAATAGAAACAATATAACAATAATATATACATCATATAAAGCGCACTCAACACAAATATTTATATAAATAAGGGGTAATAAAATAATGGTAAATATACACTATATATATATATATAAGTTTTTCAAATAATAGAGTAATTCCGGTGGTCCACTACTACAGTATATTAACGGTAGGGCTGTACTAATAAATATCTATTTTTAATTAATAGATAACAATGAAAATAAAGAATTAGATAATATTAGTGAAATCTATCTTAAGCCATAATTAAGTTCTTTTAAAAAAGGAAAACTAATTTCACAAAAGTTTTACAGTAATTTTTTGTTACAATTTTCAATAAAGAATTATTTTTTCTCTAATTATATTAATTATTATAATTACATAAATGTATGATGCAAAAAAGTTTCATTAATACAAAAATGAAAATAATAAAAGAATCTATTAATATTACAACGAATCATTGAAATCAGTTATCGGCAAAGTATTTAGTGGTAATGTTATAGTTAAAGCCGACACAGATGTCAAACATATTAATGAACAACTGGTTGAAGAATGTATCCGTTATATCGATGATTTAATTTTCTTTCAGATGTAAATTAATGACTGTCGACAAGTTTTATACAATGAAGCAATTAATTAACATTAGTTTATTGAATGAATTGGATATTTTTAAGCAAAAGTGTCTACAAATTGTAAATTAAAAAACTAAATTTGCAGACTTTTACTTGATATTAAATCGAGTAATAATAATTACAATAAATTGTTAAAAAATATTATTAAACCTTAAAATAATTTCTACACTATTCCCAATATACGTAATAAAATTACTTATTATAATGAATTATGGGATCAATTATCATTTGTTAATTTAGACAAAAATATTGAATTATGATTATATTTTTCATAAACAAAATAGTTTAAAAAGTAATATAAATAGATTTTGAAAGTCTATCAATTTTATTGATACTGTTTTTAATGCAAAAAAATTAATATTTTTATTAACATTATATTGATTTAAACAAATTAATTAACTAAAAGATATATTTATATAAAGTACTGTACGGGCGTACGATGCGAGATATAACTGACGTGGAGGCGGGATGAGACATGAATCGGAAATATCATTTCTATATTACTATATTTTAATTTATAATTTAAAAAACAATAAGTAAATTTATTGTTTGTTTATTAAATTATTAGTTTATAAATATATCAATTACATTGGTCTTGTATTTGTATTTAAAACGTCAATTTTAGCTAATATAGAAATATAATTGTAATGTAGTCTAAGGTTTGGCCTGTTTTAGCTAAATTCTAAGGTATAAATATTGTTCAGAAATAGGATTATAAAATTTGTTTTTAGTAAGAAAATTTACTTTCTTAGTTTTAGTAAGAAAAAAAAGTACATATATAAAACACAATTTTCAAATAAAAGGGTGATTCCTGTGGTCCACTATTACAGTATATTGACGGTAGGGCTGTACTAATAGGTGTCTATTTGGATAAATTCTCTGGAAAACGTCTGTAATCACAGCTATGAGGTTTGGACGGCATTTGTCAAAGTGTAGACAATTTTGGAGTGGATTAATGGATAAATGATTAATAGTTGATCAATGGTTTCTGGTTTAAAAACAAAACCTTTATTTCAAATATCCCCATMAAAAGTAATCATAAGCGTTGAGATGATGTGAATATGATGATTAATTAATGGTCAATATTAATATTATGAAGTTAAAGAATTAGTAAATATTAATGAAATATTTCTTAAGCCAGAATTAAGTTATTTTCAAAAAGGAAATCTAATTTCATAAAAGTTATTATAATTTGTGGACATAGTATTATTATTAATTCTCTAATTAGATTAATAATATAATTACATTAATGCTTTAAGGTTTGGGAAAGATAATTGAATATCATTTACTACCAATGATTGTAGTAATAAATTTAAATTTTCAAAGATAATTTAATAAATCAATGTGTTAATTATTTTGATAATATTGTGACCGGAATAAAGGGAATGAAGTGGACACAACCAATAATCGGTACGTAAAAATTTATTGATTAAAAAAGTTTTTAAAAAACTTTTAATAAATTAAATAATATTTTATCTTATATTCGATTTTTAATTCGATTTTTAATAGTGTAAAATACTAGGGACAGAGAGAGAGAGAGAGAGAGAGAGAGAGAGAGAGAGATATTATGGTAATTAAAACAAATTCAACTAAAATTATTAAAACGAAGACACCGGCAAAGCCTATGGCGATAACACCAGCGAAACCTATGGCGATAACTCCAAATAAATCGATACCGAAGCCGTCAACAAAATAATTGCCGACAACAACTATAGTACAGAGCGAGGATATCACACCCTCCGCACGAGTCCTATGGAAGACAAACAATTGGATTCAAGTGGTTACTTAGCCGAATTGGTGGCCACTAGTCAAGCATTAAGAGAGGATTTGGATACCGAACGGCGGGACAACATACGTCTATGCGAAGAACAGAATGTGTCTATTCACGATTCTCTAAAAGCCGAAGCCACGGCGACTAACCTAAAGAGAAAATTAAAGGAAGCAAAGGGGCAGTGCTAGAGCTCTTATAAACAGCTAAAAAAGGCCGAAAGAGTGGTCAATGACCTCCAAGAGAAAATTGAAGCATTGGATCGGCAATGCTAACAAGAGAAACGAAAAAAGCGGTTAACGAATAACCGGGCTGACAGATTGGCCAGAGACAAGGCAGAAGCGGCAGCGAAGTACGATGAATGGGAGCGCAATGCTATTGCGGACCGCGAACAATACCGCTTACAACTGGAGGCCAACTGGTCAATCGGATATATTACCCAAAAGAATTTGGCGGACGAGTTGATGGCGGAAACACAGGCAGTGGCAATACAGCGGATGGATATCACCGGCCCCTCAACGAGTGGATGTCGTCCTAAGCCTAGTTTGATAAACCCGACGGCTAAGGGAGAAACCGATAGAAAAATAGAAAACAGACGGCCGAAATGTCGACATCAATCTGGACGACGATACGGACAGCAAAGACCGGGAGTTGACCCAAAAAGTGGTAGAGGCGGCTGTAATGAATTGGCTATTTTCCCATTCATTTAATTATATTTAATCAGTATTTTTCGTATTAGTTTAGTATTTAAACTTTGTAGTATAACTATACATTCATTATCAGTAACTTTTATTATTAGTGATTAATACTAATCAATATGTATAGCCAATACCTGTTTAATATGTCCTTCAAAAGGCCTATACTATAAAGGGCTATCTAACAGGGATACCAATCACTTCATATAATATGACCATAGATACCATAGTCAGTCTAGACAATAAAAAACAGTCAAAATCATGCTATGCTATGGACATTAAAATATAAACTAATTAAAACACTCACTTAGATTGATAGTTTAAAAAAATTAATTATATCTTATTATTTAATAAATTCAACAAATAAAATATTTATATTATTTTAGATTTTTTTATTATAATAAATTAAAAGTAATTTTTTTATTAATATATTTTTATATTTATTTTTCTCTATTATAGACGTTATGTGTGTTTTACTGTATATTAATAATAATAATAAAAATATTTACAAACAAAACATAAAATATTTTTTTGAATTTTTATTTTATTCGTGCATTAAATGTGTAATCAATTTATATGTTAAGACATTTGGGATCTAATGTTTGATTACAACAACATATGATAACAACAACACAATGACAACAACAACGATGAAGACATTATCCGTTAAAATGACAGATATTTGGATGGATTGTCAGAAACAGATGATTGATATGCAAAATGAAATCAAACGTCTGAAGTCAGCGCTGAAGACAACGGATGAGATCAGGAAATATCTGGAGATATGTAACGAAACACTGGTATCGATCATCGAGTTGTGCCAATTGGATGTCACCAACAGTGGTAATAGTAGTCGTAGTGGTGATAATAATAAGATACAAGTGTTGGTCGGATCAGTCAGACAACTGGAATCAAGTATTGAACGAGAAAAACAAAATCTTAAGACATCTGTTGTCGTCGATATAACACAAGATAGACATGAATTCATAAGACAGAAGACAATCAATAGATTGAATCGAGACTGGAATCACTGGAAGAAATTGAAGACAAATGTCTTAACATATGATAAGTCAATTCAAACGATTAAAGAAGTGAAGAAATCAAAGAAAAATAATGATTTGTCTTCAGTGCCAGTAGTTTGTGTCGACAAACAATTAGATGACAATTATTGTGATAATAATAATAGCAATAATAATAATAATGAAGACATTAGTAATAATAGTGATACTAATCTAGTGATCAATAATGATGTGATTAACGGTAAAGAAGAAGAAGACATAATAAGTTGTCAACCGATTGGTGATAATGTTGTGAACAATGACGACAACAATATAAACGTATGGAAAGACATCGAGAGTGACGACGACGACAAAGATCGAGACTTTGCTGCCGATGATGAAGACAACGACAATAATTTCAATGACAGCGACGGCGGCGGCAGTGATGTCAGCGATTTTGTGTCGACAAAGAAGACTAAGAAGAAGAAAAAGAAGAAATCGACGACAAAAACAGCAAAACAAATACAATTCTCTAAGAGTCTTCATCATCAAAGACATCAAAAAAAGATGAACGATATGGTAATGCCGTTAAAGTCGGACGTCGACGACCAATACCGGTGCGACCAAACTGGCTGTCAGTTTAGTTGTGGCGACAAAAAGCGTATGTATAGACATCTGATGAAACATAAAAACAACTGTGGATTTGATAAAGACGTCGATGAAGGCGATGGAGTGTCCCGTCAAATGAAAACCAGAGCCGAACCCTATAAACAGGAAAGCGACGGGTTTTATGTGTGCAATAAACTACCGGATTGTCACTATAGGACCCGAAATTGTCAGAATCTGTTCAAACATTTCAGGAGACATAAGAAAAAATCGGATAAATTTCGTACAGATATGTCACAGTCGGCTGACCAGCGAATCAAGAAAATGTTGGACAACTTTATTTTCGACGACCAGTACGTATGTTTACGTGAGGGCTGCCAATACCGGTGTCCAGTGGCCGATCGGGACGTATTCTACAGACACTATAACGAACACAATCGTCTCAGCGAACCGGTTCCGACTAACGATCCTCAACGGCCGTTTGGTTGCGATCAATGTCCGATAGCACTACGCGATCACTATAATTATAGACGTCATAAACTGGATGTCCATCCGGTAGTACCCTATGTCTGCAATCAGGGTGACTGTCGTATACGGATCAAGTGTCTGAAACATTTGGTGGATCACTGGAATAATATTCATCGAAAAGTTCGCCGACACGAATGCGATTGGCCAGGTTGTGGCTATCGGGCCTACGCTTTGCGGGCCGTCCGTCAACATAAACTGATACATTCGACGGTCAAGGGGTTGTCGTGCGAATGGCCTGGTTGTCAGTTTCAATGTAAAGTCAAGTACGTGTTGGAGACGCACAGGCGTACACATACCCGTGAGAAGCCGTTTAAGTGTGATTGGCCCGGTTGTACGTATATGTGTGCACAACAGGGCGCACTTACCGTACATATGCGCCGACATACCGGCGAAAAACCGTACGAATGTTTGCAGGACGGCTGCGGCGGTAAACGATTTTCATCGTTGGCCGGTCTGTACGCTCATCGCAAACAACATGCGTCCGGTAATAGTCGGACGGGTAATAGAGGTAGAGGTCGACCGAGACTTGAATAATCTAATAATTAGTTTAATTGTTATTATTTATTAATAAGTTTTGTTAATAATATTTATTTATATATTGATATATAAATTATATTATAATTGATGTTTTTTTATATGAAACAAATTTTTTTTATTATAAAGAAAAGATAAAAGTGAATTTAAATTTATTTTTTAAAAATGTTAAATATTTCTATATGTATTAAATATTTATAGTTTCGGTAATTATTTTTTATTTACCGATAATTTTTTTTTAAATAATAGTTTTGTGTTAACATTTAAAATATGCATTTTATTTATATTTTAAATAAAAATTAATTTTTATTATCATTTTTTTTAGTGATAATTACAATTTTGCAATAATTGTTTTTATAATTAATGAAGTTTTATTTTGTGTGTAAATTAAGTACAAATTAAATATAAATTAATTTATTAATAAAATTTTTTACCAATAATTTTAATTTTCATTTATAAATATTCAATAATACATATCGTTTTTTTTTATTGAACGTTATGTGTGTTTTATATTTGATAGTAAAATAAAAGTGTTTACAAATAAAACACAATTTTTTCAAATATTTAAAAATAGATTTTTGTTTCCTTCAAAAACATTTATAGTTTTATTGCATTGAATGTAATCACCGATTGATTTGGATTGGATTGTAATCACAATATTAGATGTAATATCAATCAGTTATGATATCAATGAAGACATTATCCATTAAATTGACTGATATTTGGATGGATTGTCAGAAACAGATGATTGATATGCAAAATGAAATCTCGACTCTGAAGACAACGTTGAAGACGTCGGAAAAGATCTGTAAATATCTGGAAAAATGTAACGAAACTCTGGTGTCGATCATCGAGTTGTGCCAATTGGATGTCTGTCGTGACCAACGAGTTGTCCAATTGGTCGGATCGGTCAAAGAAGTGGAAAACAGTATTGTACGGGAAAAGGAAAATCTGCGGACACTTCATCTGAATGAAGACAAACGGACTGTGTTTGGATGCGACGACAAATCAATTGTTAAACTGATCGGCGACTTGAATCAAATGTTGTCAAAGAAACGACATCCAGAAGCTGTTGCCATTACTTATGATAAATGTTGTCAAACAGGTTGCGATGAAATTGAAGATCAATGGCCGCCGCTACCGATGCCTTCAACTGTCGATGATATCGCTGATGGTATTGCCAGCAAACAAGAGCTTATCTTACCGTCAATTAAGATGGAAACCAATGTCGATGTCGCGACTATAAGACAACCGATGCATACTATAGGAACAGTTGGTGCAGACAATAGTTGTCTTATTAAAGAAGAGTTTAGTTTCAATTCAAAAGTAACGAAAACTTATTCAAAACGCCTATTGAATGCCATTGCCGTTGATGACCGGCTAACGGCTGCTACGGTTGGCCACAACAACAGCAGCAGCAGCGACGGCGTTGATGATGGAAAAGATGACGAATCGGTCGACACTATTGACAATGATTTAGCTGACAATCGGATCGATTTGAGCGATAGTGAGCTAATGGGCGCCGACGATGATATTAATCTCGGCGAAACTGATATTGACTTTTGGCGGTCATCGGAGTCGATAAAATCGCGATCATCGGAATACAAGAGACGACGGCAACGAATTCACCGATTGATTGAGCCGTGTTTGGTCACTGATCACTACGTATGCAATAAGAGTCGGTGTCAGTTCACTACACGAAACAAAATCGTTATGTATAGACATTTGACACAACACGAGACAGCAGTAGTCAGAGGAGGAGCTGATCCGACAACGAAAGTCAGACGAGTCAGACATAACGAATGGACATATATTCAAGAGATAGTCAGACCGTACAAAGTCGATGACGAGTTTGTCTGCCAGGAAACAGATGATTGCGGTTATACCAGCAAAAAGTCACGCGATTTCTATAGACATCTCAGACGACACCGATTAAGTGTAGTGACCACCGATAATAGGACCGATAAAGTTATCAGCGATGAGCAAATCGATCGGATTTTGCAACACTTCATTGACGTCGATGACGACAACGACGGTAACAACAAATACGTCTGTTTGCGGGAAAACTGTTCGTACAGTTGTCCGCTTAGTCAACGGGAATCATTCTACGAGCACTACAGACAACACGACCGGACCAGCGATCCGATTATTACTGACGACCCGAATCGGCCGTTCGGATGCGACGAATGCGGTTCGCTGTTTAGCCGGCGATCGGATGTCCAGCGACACAAACGCGACAGACATCCGCTGGCATTGTTTGTTTGCAATCATCCGGACTGTGGCGTACGGCTGAAGAATCTGAAAAATCTGGTCGATCACAAACAGACTGTACACGTCCAGATGAAACGGTACGCGTGCGCCTGGCCTGGATGCGACTATCGGGGATCGACATCGAAAGCCTTACGCCAGCATCGACTGCACCATTCGGAGGTCAAGTCACGGGCGTGCGAATGGCCCGGTTGTCCGTATCGGTGCAAATTGCAGTGGGCAATGGTTGCCCATATGCGTACTCATACTCGCGAAAAGCCCTATCAGTGCGATTGGCCGGACTGTACGTTTCGTACTACACAGCCCTGTACACTGAAAGTACATCAGCGCCGGCATACCGGCGAAAAGCCATACCGGTGCGCGCACAACGACAACGACAACGGTGACGGCGGTTGCGACAAACGATTTTCATCGTTGGCCGGATTGCGGTCGCATCGAAAGCAACACGTTTTCGGTCATATAAGATATCAGCGAAAGTCAAAAGTGATCGCCAATTGATTTATTGGATGATTGGTGTTATAAATAAATGATACCATTAATTGGTTTTCATTAATTGTCATTAATTACTTAATAATATATTCAGTGATATATATATATATATATATATATCCCGTAAATTGATTGAATCTTATTATAATTACCGGTAATCATAATATAAATCATACATTTTTTTATATTGTAATATATCTATATATTGTCTGTATTAATTCATTCAATTCATAATTGTTTAAATATTCAATAATTTGTTTGTTTGTTTGTGATTTTGTTATTACAATTTTATAATTTGTTTTATGGCAACCAATTCAAGTGATATATTTAATATATATATATAATTTTGTTGAAACTTTTTTTTAATAACCAATAAAATGGATGATATAAAAGCTAAACGAAAAAAAATAATTATTAATTTAATGTATTTTTTTACTAGTAATTATTTACTAAAAATAATAATTATTATATTATATGATATTTTATAATACTTTTTTTTGAAAAAAAAATATATTTAGTCGATAATAAAAATATAATTATTAAATTCATACAGTATGTACTATACTTTATCGATAAAATAAAAGTAATAAAWATATATATATATATATATCATATAATTATTTATGAGTACATTAAACTATATGCACTTATTAATGATTAGATGATAAACTTTTATATATATATATATTATATTATAATAAATATTGATCCAGCATATTATATTAATACAGTATATAAATTAAAATATTTATATATATTGATAGAGAATAATAATTAATATATTGTTTTATTAATATATTATTATTATTATTATACCTTTTGTTTAATTACAATATTATTTTGAAATAACATTATTAGATATATTAGAGCAAATACACTTATAATAATAMTAAATTTGTTTATTAGTTTATTTAAATATATATATATATATATATTTTTTTTCTATTATATATATAGTAATAGTATATTATAACTTTAATTGWA